TTTACTCCAAAACCCTGATTCAACGGAAATTTTCATTAATCCTTGAGGACATCACCCTGATCGATTACATTTAGTGGAAAGGTAACTTACACCTAGATCTTTCAAAATGCCAGGGCTATTTCTGGGGTTCTTCTAGTTCTTAGGAAAAAATTGCCTTATTTTTTAAAAAAAATCTTAAGGCTGCTTTCTTGCATTTTTCTGAGAATCATTTCGTCTATGGAGAACATACAGCAACAATTGTGAGATATACTATTTTCTTTTTTCTCAACCATCAGCACAGCTGTTATTTCAAAGCAGAAAATGCAAAGCTGATTCAGGGATAAATAAGATAAAATGAATATTTAAATATATATATATTTTTCCAAAATATGTGGTAACGAAATCCATGCAATGGAGGAAGCAGTTCAAGGTTCCTAGAAATCACAGAAAAATCACAGCTCAGAACTCCAAATCCTCCTGCTCTTGAACGTGAGCTCTGGGTTTCCTCAGCCTCTTGCACCCCACCTCCACACCACAGCTCCCCTCAAGGCACCCAAGCCTCTTTCTGAGTCCCCAAAACACCTTGGTTCGCCACAGCCCTCTGGCCCTGGCTGGAAGATGTTATTTAGAAACACTTCTTGAATGCATGAACGAATGAATGCATGGTGATTTTTACCCCAGGACCAAAATTATAAAATAGCCGTATTAAATTGATGCCGAATCTGCTCAAAATTGTGTAATGTTTCAGCTGCTTTTGCTCTTCACTCATGACCAGGTCACCCAAACTCACTGACTAACTTCCTTTCCAGCCTTAGTGGCAAACTACTTGCTGAAGTTTTAATCCACCAATCACTAGATTATAAACCTGTGAGGCCAGGCTTTGGGCCTCGTCTCTGTATACTCTTGTAAAGTCTCCCTCTCTATCATCCATTCATTCTGCGGTGCTAGGATTTTCTTATACTGCATTTGCTCAACTTTTTATGCTGTCAGTCTCAGAACTACTTACAGCTTTGTGCACAGAAAATCTTTGGCTAAGTCACTGTTTTCTTAGGACTTCTGAGAAAACACAAAGGCAACCACCGAGAGGGGAACCCACTGAGGAATGAGGATCTAACACTATTGCAACAAGAGTTTTTTTATTTTTAGATCACAGTGGGGTAAACTAAAAATACATTTTTACCAGTACATAAAAGTAAAGTAGTGGGAGAATTTTCAGCTTTGCCTAATATTTTATTTATTTTTTTTAAGACAAGATCTCACTTGTATATATCTCAGGCTGGCCTCGTTGAACTTGCAGTGAATCCTTCTGCCTCAGCATCTCAGGGTTGGAATTACAAGTGTGCATCTATACTAAGAAAGCTTCCACTTTCTTAGTATAGATCATAGGAGGTAAAAACTTCAACAAAACTTCTCATCAGTGAAGAGAAACATGGGCTCTGACAGCTGATAAACACCAACCTGAAGCCTGGCGTGGTAACACACAGGTATAATCTTAGCACTCAGAAGGCTGAGGCAGGAGGATCACTGTGAGTTCCAGGCCAGCCTGGGCTACAAAGTGAGCTCAAAGTGAGTTCAAGGTCAATCTGAACTGCATAGCAAGACCCTGTTTCAAAAGGACAAACACACGCACACACACACCTCAACTATGAAGCTTTAACAGAAATCTGAATTCCTATGAATAATGCTTAGATCTGTATTTTAAGAGCCATGACACAGAATGCAGACACCATCACAATGAAGACTGGTCTTCTTTCTTGTTTCACAAAATACAAAAGCAAGATTCCTGGGTTTGTTTGTTTTATCTTATAAAACGTTTGAATTTTAAAAATCTTTACATGATTGGAGCGTTGCAGTACACACCTATAATCTCAGCTACTTGGAAAGCTGCGGCAGGAGGATGGAAAGTTTGAGGCTGGCATGAGCACTTTAGTGTGACCTGTCTCAAAATAAAATAAAAAGGGATGTGTGTGTGGCTGAGCGGTACGCACCTGCTTTAGATTAGTGAGTCTTTGTGTTCAGTCCCCAGTGCAACACATACACACACAAACCCTGTGCATGCCCACTGTAGCAAGCTGAATAATAGAAAGAATAACTACATAAAAATTTAATAACACCTTCTTCCTCTCTCTTCATGTCACTGAGATCACATACAAATATATGTCTCTCACACATGCACAGATGTTTTGGATAGATCACAGTGAATGTTTGAATTTTAAAAAGTTATTAAAGTAAAAGACACTAATCCCCTGAAATATTCCCTCTAACTTTGAAAATATTTCTCCCATCATTCCTGCCACTATCTGAAACAGCTGTGAAGGTCCTCTTTTGTGTCTTCAGTTGTGTTGTTGTGACTAGCTGCCCTGATGTACTGATTGGACACAAAACGTTTACCTTTCACGGTCATTTTGACTTTAGGGAAAAGTCAGAAGTCAAATAGTGTCAGAGTCAGTGAATAAGGGGAGGAAGACACACCGTCATGTTTTACAAGCCCACCTTTCCAATGGACGGCCCTCAGTAGCAAAATTCACCATATTTTTGATCATGACTCCTAAAGACCCTCAGGAAGGAGAACTTCCAAAACCTTCAGAAAGTAACAAGAATGCCAGCATGAATGTGTTCAAAGTGAGGGGGATGAATGGCCATGAGTCTTTTACTGTAATAAATTTTTAAAATTTAAAACACTCACTATGTATTTTGGCTACACCCCTTACCCTATAAATTGATTTGACTCCTTTAACAGTGCACCATGGATAGGTAACACTGGCTCCAAACTCAGTAACACAGACATAATTTATTATTTTTAAGAACTGCATTCTGATTGAGTTGAAACTTTGTACTCAGTCTAAAGCAGCTCAGAATATTAAAGGAGAGGAGACAACGAGATAGTAAAAGAGTTAGGTGGGCACAGAGGGAGTCACCACAGGGAAGGCTGCGGGGCTCTCTGCAGATGAAGGGCAGGCTCTGCCTGATACAGGCTCTGAGGGGGGAGGGGCTCTGGTGGCTGGTGTGAGCTGATTTATTTCATGAGAGTGCAGGGGATTGGGTAAACCTTTACAATCCTGAGCTTTGGCAAAGAAACTTTGGCAAGAAGCAACCAAGGGGCTTCTGGGAAGAAGGAGGTGTGCATTCTCAGGTCACCATTTGGAACCATCACCATGACGATTGTGCGCTCTCCCTGAAGGGGGAGGGATCTGTCATATTCTACCCTGCAGTGTGGCTACTTCACTAGCTTATTGGTTTTGTGGATGAATATTCAAAATGCACCACCCTCAGTTTCTGCCTGTCCAAGCAATGCTGAACTAAAACCCTTGTACCTGTGTCTTGTGTTGCTTTCGTGTCCATAGTATAGAGGTACAACGCTGGAATTATTGGGACTGCAGAATTATCCATTTGCTGTCAACAAATCTGCTCTTCTCAACCAAATGCTAGCCATGCTCCCCTGAGCTCTCTTCTCACTACAGCCTCAGCCTTGACATTTAAAGACCAGAACAAACCTGAGGATGGTTTTTAGCAACTCAGGGCCACATTGGGAAGATGACTCTAGGCCCTTTCCAAGTGTCTGACTGAGAAAACTCAAGGATGCCAAACAGAGAGAGAGATCGAGCAAGACAGCCTATTTGTTTATGCCCACTCCTGAGAACACAGCCCGTGTCTTCTACTCATGCGAGGACAGAATCCTGACTTCGATAACTGTCAGCAGACACAGGTGGCCTAATCTCATCTACACCCCCAAAACCTCTGTAATTGTTTACTTTCCTGATTCTGGTGACCCCTTACTTGTTCCCTGCAACCCTCTCAATCTCTCTGTCCAAATCACTAGTTCTACTCACACCTGCCTTGACTATGCTCTCTCGGTTATCTCCCCCAAACTGAACTAGTAACAGTGCAAAGTCATGGCTTAGAAAGTCTCAGGACTGTTAGCTTTAAGGATCAAGATTGCAATACAAGAACCACTAATAACTTCATCTCAAAATTAGATCCAACCAGGTATGTTTGCTAAATCATTTACGTTGAGGATGTTTGCTTACGTTTCACGAAGAAAAGTAATGGTTTTTTTCAAACAACTGACTAAAAGTCATCAGAGCTGCTCTGTTTCTGCCTCTCTTTGTCTCTTTTCAAACAAGTTCCTGTTATGTAGTCCAGGCTGGTCTCAGACTCGCCAACCTCTTTCCTTAGCCTCCTGAGTGCTAGCCTAAGAGTCACGCACCACCAGACCTTGTTTAAAAATTGCAGTTTCTGGTATTTAGTCCATGTTATCTGCACACACCAAATGTCCATGAGCTCTAAAGTTCATTCCAGTTACATGACCACTTGCTGATTGGTTTTAAAATGTTTTTTTATGAGCAAATGTGAACTAATGTGCCGTTAAGAAAGAAAAGATGAAGGCTGGACTAAAACCATTTTTACCCCCTTTTGCGGCTGGTGAAGAAAATGTGCCAGTGAGTCCTGCACTTTATCTCATTTGCTGGCCCAAGGCCAGGTAACCGAAGAGCAGCTCCAGGCTTTCTGATGACGCAGGGACAGGGCACACAATCTAAGACCAGACCGGGGGACACATAGTGTCTACATTTACATTACAGTGGGGAAGCAGTTTTTAACTAAAACCATCTCTTCTGAACAGCAAGTTGTCTCCATCTCGTTTAGTTTGGGAGATAGGTGTCAGATGTTGGATTATATTTGTCTGGATATTTAACACGCATTTGTATTCTACCTTTCTGTTAACTCACATGACTGCACCAAACAATATGCAAGCTTATGACACAAACAGCTGACCACAGGGCTCCTGGTTATAAGAAAATAAATACATTATGTTCAGTACAAAGTGAGAGAAATTTGTCCACGTTATCAAAACAATCTGTGTTTACAAAGTCGATCTTTATTTAGGAAGAAAGAATTGCAAGCAGTGTCTGCACCCCTGGTGAATTAAAAATAGCAACCAACAAGTAAAAAGTCAACTCATGTGATTCAAGAGCTCTTATTTAAGTAAAATAAATATAAGCCCAATTTTGGACCCAACTTACTGGTCCAGATGCTCTGTGTTCTTTCCTTTGGAATAGAGAGTAGGCAAGCAATGTCTCGGTGCCTGTGACAGACAGCTTCTTTGCAAGATCCTCAGGGCCCTCCACCGTAACTGCTATTAATAGACCGTCAGCTCACAAAGCTGTCCTCAGTTAAAAGGCCAGATGAAAATATACACTGCGTGAACTACTGTGTCCCCTGTATTCTAGTTACTTAGGATGCTCTTACTGAGAATTCTTAATAATTCTCTTGATAGTTCCACTGTAAAGTCTTGCTTTTTAAACTTTTTCTTTCTTTCTTTTTTTCTTTCTTTTTCTTTTCTTTTTTTTCTTTTCTTTTCTTCCTTTCTTTCTTTCTTTTTCTTTCTTTTTTTTCCTTTTTTTGAGATAGGGTCTTGCTTTGCAATGAAGGCTGGTCTTAAACTCACTACAGAGTCCATTCTGGCCTTGAATTTGCTGTGATCTTCCTGCTTCAGCCTCCCAAGTGCTGTGATTACATGACATGTGCCATCTCACCTGACTTTTTAACCATTTCCTAAATAGTGTGAAATCCAGGTGGGAAAAATGCACCCCATGGAAAAGGAAACCAGGATTCCTGTTCCCCACTCCCTGTACTCATGAACTAAATAAGTCACACATGTATTTAAGGATCAAATTCTTCATTTGCAAAAGAAAAAACATAATACCCAACTCAAAGGGTAGCTAGAGGGGTTGGGGATATAGCTCAGTGGCACTACCCCTGCCCGGTAAGCGCGAGGTCATGAGTTTGATTCCCCCCCACAGAAAAGGTGATAGCTATGTAAGTTTCCTACGTAAGACTCATGAGGAAATAATGCATTCTGCTTCAGGAATTTATCCTGTAAAAATGTAGACAGCACACAAAGCTTTATGTAAAATAATACCAATATGACATTTGTCATAGGAAAGAAAAAAGAAAGATAAATAGAAAGAAGGAAAATGATCAAAATAATCACAATACATCCAATCAAAGCTGTGTGTATGCATCACGCAGGCATGCAAAGGATGAAATGAAAAGACAAACTTGATGTACCAAGTAGAAAAAGTGAGCTGAAAACACTGCACATTTAACTCTATTTTTATGACAAGAACATACGCTTTCAAATGCATAGAAAATAGAGTGACAGTAAGCAATAAAAACATATCCACTCTTAAGCAAAAAAGAATCCCAACTATTTCTTTTTTCAATTCATTTAGTATTGAGTACACTCACTTATAACAAACCTGTATTGTTGGCTAATTAAAAATTAAAGATGTTAGGGAAATCACTGCTATAGATTGGATAAATGTTCCCCAAACTTCTACCTGTTGAAGGCGTGGCTCTAGCCCCTGGCATTCATGGGAGGTGACAGAAAGCTTAAGAGGTAGAAACTAGTGACAGATTTCAGGTCATAGAGGCTGTTCCCTTGGAGGGGATTGTAGGACCGCAGATTCCTCTCTTTTTTAACTTTCTGGTCATGAGGTGACCAGCTGTGACCCCACCATACATTCTTACCATGATGGGCTGCACAGGCCTAAGGCAAGAGGGCCTGAAGTGTCTACAGCTGTGAGCCAAGATAAACCTTTTTTCTTTTCATGCTGATTAGCTCAGGCACCCATCATAGCAATGAAAAGCTTCCCAGCAAAAGCACTTAGCACAACACCTACTGGTTTGCTGAACAGTGATTGCCACAGCTCCTTCATCCAGTGAAAAAGAGTTTGGAAAAAATAGCAGATTTTGGTAATACGCAACCAGTTATATTTGTGTATGAATTGCATCAGGTGCTTTGTTTAATTATTTGGTTGTACTCGTAGTTTCATGGGTGTATTATGCACAGGCCAAGATATTGAGTTGTATACCACAACTATGTGAAAATTATTGTGCCAACAATGATTTTAAAAAAAAATGATTTTTAAAAAGTAGAACTAAAATATTCAACAGTGATAACAGTAATGATAGAATGAGATCAGAATTAAAAGTTTCTAAGTTATATTATTCAGAAGATTGAAGATAAGTATTTTGTTAAATCATCACAGACTATTGATTATTAAATCAATCAATAAGTATTTTGTATAACATACAGTTATAATTGTATAACTATACTATAAACTGTATAGTTAAGTATACTATAAGCATACTTATACTTGTGTAAGTATTACTACTTATACAAAAGAAATTTAAACTGTGTACTTCTAAGGAAAAGGAGAAAAAATTGGAATATAAAAACTTGAAAAATCCAAAAGAGGGCAAAAAATGGAGAAAATAAAGTAAAATAGTGCTAAAAAAATAAAAATAACAATTAATACTTCTATAACCACAGTAGAGATTGCCTAAACTCACTATTTTTAAAAAATTTGTATCTGTATTAGTACGTGTTTGTAGTACATAAAGCTTACATTCATCTTGGGCAGTTGGTACATGTATGGAACACATCATAGTTCTTTTTAAGAACTCTGTCTCTCTCCATCTCTGCACTCACTACTGAAATATAAACATTATTGTCAAGTCACAAACAGATGGATGGGTCCATCTTTGGTTCATGCGTGTTTATAAGAGGATTGGAGACCTAGGCTCAGCTCAAGCCCTCTTAACTGATTTTCTTAAACCTGAAATTAATTGAAAGAATGTTCTTTATATCAAAAACAATAAAGGAAACTGACTTTGTAGAGAGAGGAGGAGGTGAGAGAACTAGAAAGGGAACAGAGAACTGGAAATAAGAAATGTTTCCATGCTATAATCTCAGCCAAATGGTAAATATGAAATTGTCTAACAGATATTCAGTTGGAATATTAAGAAATAACAGCACATTTTACTTAAATGTAGATGCACAGGGCTGGATGGGACAATGTCTACCACCTCCTAGCACCTCTGCTCCTTAGAACACCTAAAGCTAAAGATGCTCCTTCCCTGCATGGTGGAGCTAGAACTCCTCAGAGAAATCAGAACTACACTTCCCCAGATGGTACAATCCATCCATCTGTTCTTTCATGGAATCTGCAAGATGGTATAGACGGTTCTAAGCAGTCTTATCAGGCAAACAGATGGCAAATTCTTTCCAGAAGTTAATTCTTCAGTCCCATTCCAACAAGAGGCCATGGGGCTCCTCCAGACTGTCCATCTTTGGCAGCCCTTCCTCAGCCTCAATTGATTTTACACACGTTGGGGCTCAGGGGCAGGGAACTGTGGGGAGACACCAGGAAACTGGGAACACAAGTTAAGCTCACCCTCTGAGAACACGATCTCTGCAAATGTCCTTTCCCTGTCCCAATCATCTAGGAGTTTGTAGTCTTGTTCTGATCACTGAGTGATAGGATGAAATGCTGTACAGGACTAAGAATCAAAAGACAGAACAGCTCGTTCCACCTCTACTCGGAGGGCGGGGCCTCTGCATCATGAGTCCCCCTGAAGTGTCACCAAGTTTGTAAAGGATCTCAGTGGCATGGCCTGCTGAGGAACATCTCTTTCCTCGTTCCTAGTTGTTGCTATTGGTGTGGGCAAGGGGCTGGCATGTGGTAGAGGGAGGCATGGTGAGTGGAATCCTTGCCTCTGCTCTGCTTGGCCTGTTTTCATATTATCACTTCTTAGATTCTCTTCTGTTATTTGTTTTACAAATTCTACAGCTGTTTCCTACTGTAGGTATCACAAGGATACCTAAAGCTAAATGAATAATTTCTTCTACTAAGTTTTCATCAAAAGCTAACTGAATGATGTCACTGATGTAATAAAACTTTAGCTCTGCTGTCAAAAAAAAAGGCAATCAACAAGATTGGACTAGGAGAACTGGTTTCATGGATTGCTTTTGAAAAAAATAGAAATAATATGAAAATGCATAAACTACACACATGTACCATCCAAATTTGTGAAAGAAGTAATGGACAAAAGACTTTAGCATTCTAGTAATCATCCCAGACCTAAAAGTGTAAGGGAAATTACGTGTGAATATATAAGTTAGCTTGAACAAACATTAACGGACAGAGAGTGGAGAGAGTCTTCTTTGTAAGAAATTTAAAGAATCTGTCAAAACTACATAAATGAAAGAGGAGAAGAAGCCAGCCCCTTCCTGTGAGTCAGTGCCAGCTGTGGGCCAGCAGGAGGAGAACAAGAAGCCAGCCCCTCCTGTGAGCCAGCCAGCACTTGGGCTGGAAAACAAGAAGATTCCCCCCCACTCTACCCCCTGCAAGCACCTGGCTAATTTAGAGAAATACAGGCTAAGATGATAGCTATTGAAGTAAAAACAGACAACCAAACTCCATGCTTGTAGTGTTTAGTATTTGGTTGACTTTGGAGGCCTAAAGCCGCTAGTCTGATCATCTATTTAGAAGATAACAATCCACAATATAACATCTATGGGGGATCTCCTTCTGAAGGTGGTAGCCATTGTTAATTCCCTATTATCTGTTGTAAAGTCATGTATCATTTTCATGGTTTTGTTTGGCTCGGTTTTATTCTGCTTTGTTTTGTATGATTTATTATATCCAATAGCATGGGCAGCTATTTCAAAGGTAAGAAGAGGTATTATGGTAGCCATTTTTGATTTCCTATGTTTTTGAAGTCCTTTAATTCTGCTTTGGTTGTTTGTATTCTGTTCTGTTTTGTTTGATTTCATTATGTCTGGTCATGTGGGCAGCTATTTTGAAGATAACAAGAGGCATTATGGTAGCTATTGTTGGTTTCCTATTATCTGGTTTTGAAATCTTGTATCACTTGCACTGTTTTGTTTTGAATGGCTTTTATTGTTTTTAAAATAAAAAATTTAAAAAAGAAAAAGTAAGTAAGAGAATCTGAACATATGTGAGCAATGTTGGAAAACTTTTACATTTCTCAATGCATTTGAATATATGAAAGAATTCTCACATGAAAAAAGAATAGAAATAAAATAGGAAAAAATACTTGGGATACCCATAATGTATTATAGACATGTAAATTGTGTTCATTGAGATAATCTTAAGCCTTTATAGTGTCATCACCTATGTGACACTGTCTTACATAGAAAAGGCTGAGAAGTTATGGATGACATCTATGACTCCATCTGTCTGACATTCAAAATCTCTCCAATCACCACCTTCAACCACAACCCCATCTCCCATTTTATGATGGCCCAGACATAGGTGGTACCCAAACTGTGCTAATCAAGGTCCTTCTCTGGTTTGGCTACACTCAAGTGTTCCACGAGTAAGCACTTGATTCAGGTGGACAGTTCCCTAACCTAATACATCCCTAACCTAGTACATCCCTAACCTAACACATCCCTCACCCGTATTTTTCAGATATGGAAACAGAACAAGTTACAAGATATAAAACTTAAAACCTATTAATGGATGCATTTTCCACCTTACCTGCAGCATTCTGAGAGGAAAGGATATGTCTCAAATCACAATGAATTTTCCAGTTTAAGTGTGTCTGCTTGTAGCAGGGCCTCTTCTAGTCATCCATGGCTCTCTAACTTTACTGTGGACTCCAATAGGAAACCTGTACCAGTGAGGCCCAGCACCAGGAAAATGGTCAAGGCCCCAGGTCCTAGGGCAGCACCCACAGATTAAGTGTTCAAGTCTATCTGAGCACCAAGCTAGCGCCCCACCCTCTGGGATCCAGAAAGACCTCAATAGCCTTAGGCTTCAAACCCACCAAAGCACAAGACTAAGTCTATAATAGATCCAGTCTATAACAGATCTGGCTCCACATCTTCCCCAGAGCCAGCCCTACCCTAGGCAGCCTCTATGAATCCAGGCTCCAGGCTAGGCGCAGCGTCAGATCAGCTCCTGTGGGAGCAGGCTCCAGGTTCTAGTCTTGTCTTCACGGAGTCAGTTGCCAGGCCCATTCCAGTGCCAAGTGGGCTTCCAAGGACTCGGGCTGAGGCCTACCCTAGCACCAAGTTGGCCTCAATGGACTC